GACGTTTCGACATAGGTTCTAATGTCGTTGTCAAGCAAGTGATACATGAGTTACAACTTGAGAGAATATATACATGAGTTGTTATAACAGTAGATAGGGAATGAGTTGTTTATACAATAAATGAGGTTGATGTACAACGCTTGTAGAAGAGATTGAGTAAGTTGATTGGAAGCCAGAAGGGTAATATACAAGGACTGAATTAGAATTTATAGGAGGCCAGGTTGATGTATATACAAAAGATGGGTTTGATGTACATAGTTGAATTGAAACAGATAATGTACACAAGAAATGTAATTGATTACTTTATCAAGTGATGGTAGGCATTGGGAATGTACTATCCTTCATCTCTGTTGAGAGCGGATCGTATCTTCTTGATGTGTACTGCTTCCAAAAGTTTCCGATTTTTCTAGTCTGACTGGTTCTTTTCTATGGTTTTCTTTGAATTATGATGTTGTGTGACAAATGTGTCGGAAGTGACAGATGAACGGGAGGGACCTATGACAAATAAGGCATTGTGACGAGTATATTGTCATGGTGATTTCCACGATGAGTGGCCAGCACTAAGACAATCAACCACATCCAAACCATCATCCTAAAATAAAATCACTACGTGAGTGTGTGAATTTAAATATATGTCGCCTAAGAGCAATATTCATGTTTTAGGTTCATTGTTGATGGTTTTGTGACGCCTATTGTACGCCATCAGTTCAATTCCAACTTAATGGAATGGTGAGTTACACTTACATTTCAAACAAATTGGAGCTTGCGTTTTTTTTTGCAGCTCAGTTTATTACATATACATCACATTCAGAGAGTTTTGAAGTATGTGACACTATAAATGAGCAGTATGTAGACAATTCAAAAATAATTATCAGTTCTCGCTGTTTGGTTATAGGTGGAGGAATTAGAAATGAGGCATGGGAACTTAACCGTTTATGTTTATGTCACTTTATTGTATTTCAGGGTGATCAAAATACAGCTGTGGTTTCTTTGAATTAATAAAGACGATCAAATATTATTAACTGAAGAACTTCACCTACATGAACCCAATTCGCTCCTACCCAAAGATAGAGGAGACGCACGTGACAGTAAAGCACCTTGGTACCTCAATGTAGTAACTGAACCATTCCACAGTCAATGGTGTAATCTAAGCAAATAAAAGGATGCAGTCAAACGTTCGTCTAATCAAAGCTGAAAATAGTAAACAGTTAAACGCTGGTCTAGCCATATATAGTGAACTTCTTTGGATGGCATTTAGAAGTTGGTGTGCTGAACAACGGGGAAAGTTATATGGATATACAACTCCTTTATTATAATTTCTAAGATGCCTAGCGGTTAGAACAATCGAAAAAAACAACATTATCAGACAATAAAGGTATAGTTTTTTGATGACGTAACAATTGAATGACGTTTTCCCGTCACTGCGCCATTCTAGTGTGCCCCCTCGTAATCGAACCATTTTACATTACGTCACAATGTAAGCGACGTCACGATGCATGTCAGTTGTCATCGCCTCGTACGGCCTCCTACAGTAAACTACACCGTTGCATCCAGTTTCTTGGTTTGCTGTTGCTTCACGCAGCTAACATCACTGGTGGAAACATTACGTTTATGTTTTACGACGGTTCAAATGTGTCATTTCGACTCACAAGTTTTCAGCGACACGGTAACGTTCGTAATGTTTACATTCCCATAATGCAATTGTGGAATGTCGCCTGACTACTCAGCTTCATCTGAATGTACTGATCTAAACTTACTTTGGTAGTAGAAATGCGACATTCATATTGCCCCATATTGTTTACGTTAATCACAGATGCAATTAAAATAATTTAATGAAGATATTTAATCTGAACGTAAACCGTCATCAAACTGTTATCATTTGTTTTTTTCTGGTAACGTTCGTCTTAACGTAGGGGGCAGACACATCAATAGAACAGCGCACCAGTTAGCCCTGTGCGATGATTCTTAATTTAGGTCACCGACACCGTCGTTTGTTTTCTGCCTTAGATTAATCGTAATTATCTTTTGAAAGTATTAAATTGGCATCTTAGAAAAGAAATACGCTTCGCCCTACCACCATGTATAGTGTAATAAAACACACTTTCGCCCTGAACTATTATAACGTTAAAGCACTCGGACGCAAGCGTCCTCGTGCTTTAACTATAATAGTTCAGGGCAAAAGTGTGTTTTATTACACTATACATGGTGGTAGAGCGAAGTGTATTTCTTAAGTAAGCGATATTTTGGTCCGCCAATTTCAAACCTGTTCTGCCATCAAAATATCTATCAAAACCCATCTTTTCCGCCATGTTTTCTTCTGACAAAAGTTAGATAATAGACACGTTATACCAACAACTGTTTTTTTGTACATATATATTGTTACCCTCCGCCGCCATTTTGACTGTATGTAATAATTGATGTGTGTGATATGTACTCTTATACCACTATTGGTGGTCTATTGAGAAAAAGTAAAGTAAAGGCTACAGCTGGACGTGGTCGCACAGGTTTTTAAAAAGTGATTGGTGACGCGTGTATCCAATTAACCTTTCGTAACATTTTCGTTGCCAGAGGAGGACTTGAAACTCGTTCAATATGTGGAACTATCTACCTGTATCATCTTGTTTATAACTTGGTCAACTCATGTTAAAACGATTCATATCGAATGAGAGCAATAGGTGACATTCACTGGGATGCAGGCAAATGAGAAAAGGGCGACAAATCTGCCTGATTTTACGATATATAAATGAACAGATTCAAGAATCTGCATATTTACAGGTGCAGTTGCATGGGCATTTCCGAATAGTACTGAGTCTAATGTATATCCTTTTTGGTAAAAGTACATGTTATTTCGAGTTACAGTATATATTGGACAAGTACAGAAAAAGTGAAAACTATCCTCATTTTGCTAGTCCACATGAGCATATCGGACTTTCTAAAATGTATGTTTCATATTGTGAGCATTGAGGTCACTGCAGCCAAATAAACCCTCCTACCCATCTACAAAACATTTATCATGTACACACTGGAGTGAGTCGCTCTCGTCCTTCTCTATCCCCAACTAAACTCCTTACAATATATAAAAAATGCCATAGGTGCAAAGACTAGTACCTACTACATAGTAGTTACTAGAAGAAACTAAATTACTCAATAACTAGTATACTGGGTCTGAAAACAAAATATCAAAACACCAAACAAAAAAAGGCACCCTTAAATTCAGAATAAACGCTTTAAAACATCCCTATCCAGCCACACATTACAGTGTAAACTCGATTATCCTGACTAACTCACAATGTCAAGGCCACACACCGCACGTTTTACAACCAAAACATAGACACCGGACCCTGCCTCCCCAGCCCTACTTTTTAACATTTAACCCCTTTTCATCTATTTAGTAGACTCCTTATTAGCTTTGAAATACACAATGCCATTTTAAAAAGTGGTCATATGTTCCTTATTAGCTTATCAGCAACAGTTGAACTGTTCTGCACAATAAGTCACAATATACTTTACACTACTTACTTAGTTGAACTTATACGCAATCAAGTTCCCAACCCTCTTACGTCCAACTTCTCAACTCCCCATCTAAACTAAATTATTTTTAACATACAGGTGTTTTATGATATAGTGCTTTATTCCCCAAGTAATAATTATATTACGTTTTTGTTAAACACACCTGTAACGTCGGCCGATGACTTGTGGCGCGCACTGTCTCAAGTAGATAGTTGGGATATGGGGACAGACAGACAGACATATAAGTATGTAGACAAGCCATTCTTGTAGAAGTATGGGAGACGATGTCACATACATTTAGAACAATCCCTTTTTCAAATAATAGTGGAAATATATATGTGTGAAATAGGCACACATAAAAAGATCAGATGAAAGGCACAGGGTGTATGAAATTCCATCACTGATACAATAAAGCCCGACGGGGAGTTCGTTTGGGTGGTTTGTTGTTTAACACCGGACTGGATCACGATGTTACGGAGTATATTCTTATCCTTCATCAGGTGAATGAAGAGACTAGAAACTAGGAAGAGAAAGCTAAAGACGTACATTTGAAACAACAGTGATAAGATAACAAGGGAAGCCAGTACTTAATTAGCGCTAAATTGGTAGGGTGGATGGACAAATGGAAGCCAGGGATTGTTAATCCCGGCATGAATAATGAGATAACAATGGTAGCATTTAACAAGGGAAATGGCAATAAAGAAATGCAAGCCAGGAATTAATCCAAGCCTAATTAGTGATGTAACAATAAATTAAATGATTGTTACCCTTTTTTACAGACTATTTAAGAGCACTCATTTATTTCAACGAAAACACACTCGGTTTCTGGAGTTATTGTTGGATTATTGTTTGGACAAGTTGAAGGATTAATTAGAAAAATGCCACAGAATTTGAAAGCATGTTCATGTTGTTTCTATACGACTAAACCAAATGAAAATAAAGCCTCCTGTTGGATTAAATCATACGCAGGTTAGACGTCATGTGCAGACAGGGCAGAATTATGTGAAATATCGCTTTCTCGCTCTATCGCTTTCTCGCTTTCTCGCTTTCTCGCTCTATCGCTTTCTCGCCTTGGTATATCGCTTTCTCGCTCTACCGCTTTATCGCTTTCTCGCGTAATGGTATCGCTTTCTCGTCTCGTGCTATCGCTTTCTCGTCTCGCGTTATCGCTTTCTCGTCTCGCGTTATCGCTTTCTCGTCTCGTGCTATCGCTTTCTCGTCTCGTGTTATCGCTTTCTCGTCTCGTGATATCGCTTTCTCGTTTTCTCGCCTCCGAATTTTAAGGCGAGAAAGCGATGGCCCTAATCAGCCACCATAGAATCCCCATTCAAAACTTTGTCAGCGTGACTAATACACAACTACTCAGGTCGATGGTACACAGTTGTCATTTCATATGTTTGTGACGAGTACAGCCGATGAAGTATCACCATCTCATATGATGGTGTTTACAACATTTGACTCTGCTCACTGAACCTAAACAAGCAGGGCAACTCAGCTGTGTTAAAGTTGTCGGGGATAGGGTCGGAGACGCCACACCTGTGAGGAGAACGGAGGCTGATGGTCGCACTCTGGATACTCCGGACGTTTTATGTACATAACTAATGATGCTGTTGGTGAGGAAGATATAGACCTTGAAACAACAGGTGAGATAAGTATTAGTGGTCATATGTTCCTTATTAGCTTATCAGCAACAGTTGAACTGTTCTGCACAATAAGTCACAATATACTTTACACTACTTACTTAGTTGAACTTATACGCAATCAAGTTCCCAACCCTCTTACGTCCAACTTCTCAACTCCCCATCTAAACTAAATTATTTTTAACATACAGGTGTTTTATGATATAGTGCTTTATTCCCCAAGTAATAATTATATTACGTTTTTGTTAAACACACCTGTAACGTCGGCCGATGACTTGTGGCGCGCACTGTCTCAAGTAGATAGTTGGGATATGGGGACAGACAGACATATAAGTATGTAGACAAGCCATTCTTGTAGAAGTATGGGAGACGATGTCACATACATTTAGAACAATCCCTTTTTTCAAATAATAGTGGAAATATATATGTGTGAAATAGGCACACATAAAAAGATCAGATGAAAGGCACAGGGTGTATGAAATTCCATCACTGATACAATAAAGCCCGACGGGGAGTTCGTTTGGGTGGTTTGTTGTTTAACACCGGACTGGATCACGATGTTACGGAGTATATTCTTATCCTTCATCAGGTGAATGAAGAGACTAGAAACTAGGAAGAGAAAGCTAAAGACGTACATTTGAAACAACAGTGATAAGATAACAAGGGAAGCCAGTACTTAATTAGCGCTAAATTGGTAGGGTGGATGGACAAATGGAAGCCAGGGATTGTTAATCCCGGCATGAATAATGAGATAACAATGGTAGCATTTAACAAGGGAAATGACAATAAAGAAATGCAAGCCAGGAATTAATCCAAGCCTAATTAGTGATGTAACAATAAATTAAATGATTGTTATCCTTTTTACAGACTATTTAAGAGCACTCATTTATTTCAACGAAAACACACTCGGTTTCTGGAGTTATTGTTGGATTATTGTTTGGACAAGTTGAAGGATTAATTAGAAAAATGCCACAGAATTTGAAAGCATGTTCATGTTGTTTCTATACGACTAAACCAAATGAAAATAAAGCCTCCTGTTGGATTAAATCATACGCAGGTTAGACGTCATGTGCAGACAGGGCAGAATTATGTGAAATATCGCTTTCTCGCTCTATCGCTTTCTCGCTTTATCGCTTTCTCGCTTTCTCGCTCTATCGCTTTCTCGCCTTGGTATATCGCTTTCTCGCTCTACCGCTTTATCGCTTTCTCGCGTAATGGTATCGCTTTCTCGTCTCGTGCTATCGCTTTCTCGTCTCGCGTTATCGCTTTCTCGTCTCGCGTTATCGCTTTCTCGTCTCGCGTTATCGCTTTCTCGTCTCGTGCTATCGCTTTCTCGTCTCGTGTTATCGCTTTCTCGTCTCGTGATATCGCTTTCTCGCTTTCTCGCCTCCGAATTTTAAGGCGCGAAAGCGATGGCTTTCTAATCAGCCACCATAGAATCCCCATTCAAAACTTTGTCAGCGTGACTAATACACAACTACTCAGGTCGATGGTACACAGTTGTCATTTCATATGTTTGTGACGAGTACAGCCGATGAAGTATCACCATCTCATATGATGGTGTTTACAACATTTGACTCTGCTCACTGAACCTAAACAAGCAGGGCAACTCAGCTGTGTTAAAGTTGTCGGGGATAGGGTCGGAGACGCCACACCTGTGAGGAGAACGGAGGCTGATGGTCGCACTCTGGATACTCCGGACGTTTTATGTACATAACTAATGATGCTGTTGGTGAGGAAGATATAGACCTTGAAACAACAGGTGAGATAAGTATTAGACGCTTTGGACAATAAGAATGATAAACAATAGCCTGCTTACTGCGTTTGTGCCACTTTATAGTTATCGACTATCAGAGACCATGTATAAAATGGGGTAAGGTGTAACGCTACTCATTTTGTTACAGTTTTTCATCTGTATTCAGCGCGATGTTATTCATTGTGTGACGGTGTTTCATCTGTATTCAGCGCGATGTTATTCATTGTGTGACGGTGTTTCATCTGTATTCAGCGTTATGTTATTCATTGTGTGATTCGGTGTTTCATCTGTATGTTATTCATTGTGTGACGGTGTTTCAACTGTATTCAGCGCGATGTTATTCATTGTGTGACGGTGTTTCATCTGTATTCATCGCGATGTTATTCGTTGTGTGACGGTGTTTCATCTGTATTCATCGCGATGTTATTCATTGTGTGACGGTGTTTCATCTGTATTCATCGCGATGTTATTCATTGTGTGACGGTGTTTCATCTGTATTCAGCGCGATGTTATTCATTGTGTGACGGTGTTTCATCTGTATTCATCGCGATGTTATTAATTGTGTGACGGTGTTTCATCTGTATTCAGCGCGATGTTATTCATTGTGTGACGGTGTTTCAACTGTATTCAGCGCGATGTTATTCATTGTGTGTCAGTGTTTCATCTGTATTCAGCGCGATGTTATTCATTGTGTGACGGTGTTTCATCTGTATTCATCGCGATGTTATTCATTGTGTGACGGTGTTTCATCTGTATTCAGCGCGATGTTATTCATTGTGTGTCAGTGTTTCATCTGTATTCAGCGCGATGTTATTCATTGTGTGACGGTGTTTCATCTGTTTTCAGCGCGATGTTATTAATTGTGTGACGGTGTTTCAATTACATTCCACTGTTTCTGTTGACATTCAGTCAGGTGCGGTATTATTCATTGAGCAATGTCAGTGTTTCATCTTTGTTCAAATGTTTCTTTGACATTCAGTAAAATGCGGTGTTACTCATTGTGTGACAGTGTTTGAAGTGTATTACACTGTTGGTGACATTTAAATCGATCTCTCCCAAGTGGCAATATACAACATTGTGCCACTGAATAATGTGTTTATGCATTGAGAGTTGTACGTTACACGGAGTGCACAGAGCTCGTTCTCATAATGTGTTTATTTATATACAAGAGCTGGGATATTTTCCTTGTCCTTTAATACTTGTTCCGTGCTGATTCCCAGGTTGAAAACAATGTAGGAGTTCAGCAGAAATCAGTCCGTAACGCAGTGCAACCAACAGACAGCAAGGCAATGTGATATTCCATAATTCTAAATTAGCTATGTTTCCAAAATAGTACAAATGACAACACATGTCCAGGTATTACAGTGACAGTATAAATTAAAGTGGCAGTGCAAATTCAAAAGCAGTATGATACATTCTAGGATTATTGCAATGTAGACAGATATAGTAACTGCAACCACCGTTAAAAGAAACACTCAAGAACAATTCCCCAACTCCCTGGGTCAGAATATAGAAGAATGGCCCGTAGGGATGTAGAACCCAGTGGTATAACTTCCAGAACTCGTCTAAATATAGCACACACTACTCCCTTCTGTACAATTTTAAACCCCTGGGCCTAGATTTTTGAAGCTCTCTTAGCGCTAAGATAGTCGTAAGTGTCATTAAGATGAACTTATGACTATCTTAGCGCTTAGATCGCTTCGAAAATCTAGGCCCTGGAGCGTGTTTATAATGGATATATAGTGCTGTCATGTAACAACAAACCGTTACGTTTACCGTGGTAGATTATGTGCATAACGAAAATGTAGTTCTTTGTCCCAGTATTTGTAATTTGTCCTCATTTGTTTTAATCATCATGAAGAAATAGTCAACATTTTATTTATTTTTTGGTATTTTAATTCACTTGAGTTCATACACAGGTAAGACACATAACAGTGACATTATGCCTACAGCAAGCTATTAAGTACGGTGCAAATCGCACATGCTCGCATCAAACCAACGTCATAACATTGCAAGCCACGCCTTGCCTATTTTGGCGTATCTTTAACAATTGCCAGTTGCAGTTACGTTTGGAATGAATTGTAACTTTGGAGAAAGCATGGCTCAACACTCTAAAACAAATACCAGATGAATGAATCAGCATTGCATAAGATGTTATTCTGATGTCAACAAAATAATGTATACGATAAAAGATGGCCATGCACTGTTTGTTGTTTCAGACACAATGTTGAGGACTCTCCTTGTTTTGCTGACATTCACATTGTGCCAAGGAAATGTACAGATTTGTGCCTTGCATTTTGACATGCAATATGGAGGTTTGTTTGCTGACTGTACTGGAAGAAAACTTCAACATGTTCCAGACTACCTTCCGGAAAATATAACAGCTCTGGATATGAGTGAAAATGATCTGAAAATTCTCACAAATAACACATTTTACAAGTTTAGGAAGCTCATCTACCTTAATATCAACAGGAACCCGCTGTCAGAGTTGGAACCAGAGGCATTCAGGGGCCTGTTTAGTCTCAACAAACTTCTCCTTTCTCGGAACAAATTGCGATCAGACAGAGTGTCTTTCCCTGAGGAAGTCTTCCGTGACCTTGTGAGTTTGAACACTCTAAATCTTGAAAAGACTGAAATGAGCTCATATCCGGATTGGGTGTTTCCTCCTCTCGTCAAGCTCCACAGTCTGTATATCGACTCAGTTCCTCATCCTTTGTTTGGTCCAGGATTCTCCAACCTAACAAATCTGAAAGTACTCCAGATGGACTCCAGGTTTATATACGGAGGCGAATGTTCAACAGAAAAATTAAGAAATGAAACATTTCAGAGTTTAAATGAGACAAATCTTGAGGTTTTGGTTTTAAATCATTGTAGTATAAAAGACTGTGAGCCAGGCGTTCTGGAGCCACTATTGTTCCTAAAAGAGTTGGAACTAACCCACAATCAAATAGGAAACCACAACGCTTTACGTCTTCTCTATCCCTTTGTAAATCGGAATATGACCAAAATTTGGTTTAATGGTACATACAAGCTCGAAGTGCAACATGAAAAAGAACTTCTTGATAGAGCCCTAACTAAAGAAAGTATGCGTTATCTGACTAAAATATGTGTCACTGAAGTATCTTTGAGAAGCAACCGCTTATACTTAATCGAATATGCAGCAGTCTACAAGGATCCATTTGAAAGTTGTTTGAAAGTTCTTGATATGTCTGACAACTTATTTGTTGGGGATGTTGTTGTACTATTTTTCCTTTTTAGATTTTCCCACCTTGAATATTTCGATTGCAGCCTGCAGAAAATAGACGGTGACTTTCCAAGGACTCAAAGTTATGAAACATTAGGTAAAAACAAAACAGTAACAGTCACATTGCCTCCTAAGATTAGATATTTGGGTGTAACTTCCGTATCAGGATCTTCAAACTTCATCCAAGAAATTGTATTTCAAAACACACACAACCTGGAAACTGTTCTCCTGGCTTCTAACTTGGTTCATGGTTTAATGCACATTGGGGGTTTAGAAAATGTTGGCAATGTTGAGTTATCAGGCAACAAGTTTGATAATGTGTTTGATTTCCACTCATTTGAAAACGCAACACATTTGTCATTACGAAATTGCAAGTTACAATTTGCCCATAAATCCTTTAGTGAACATAGTGTATTCAGTCCTCTGAAATCAATACAATACTTTGATGTTTCAATGAATGAACTGACTGATATATCACTTCGTCCAATTTCTAATACAATCATTCATCTAAATTTATCTCACAATGAGTTTGACACCATTCCTATTGAAACCATTAAATATAGACGGCTTATCCTTATCGACATGTCCTTTAACCTGATTGGACAGTTGGATAAAGGCACAAGATCAAAACTGGATTTGTCATTTGAAAAGAACAACCTCAAACTTATTTTCAATGGGAACACCTTTTCGTGTAGCTGTGAAAATCTGGACTTCATTCTTTGGTTGGTGGATACACCTGTCATTTACGAGACTGACAGGAACTTCCCATGCATTCTGGATAATGGCACAATGACAGGAACTGTGGATGTGGTCCAACATCATGAAAGACTGTTTCGCTACTGTACAGGCAAAATGATGCTTAGCATCACCGTTACATTTATGGTTGTAATGTTTACTTCTATTATTGTTGTATACATAGTCTCCAACAATCCAGTGCGATATCATAATGCTTTGCTGAAACTCTTTGGTTTGGGTATCCAATATTTAACAGCCAAAGATTTTGATTTCACCTTCTTTGTCGCGTATTGTGAGGCTGACATTCCTTTCGTCTATCGGAAAGTACGACCAGAGCTGGAACTGTGTAATCAGCCTGTGCGTCTGTTCCTGAAGGATCGGGATGTTCTTCCAGGTGTTTCTATCGCCGACGGTATTATTTGCGGCATCACGTACAGCTGGAAGTCTGTTCTGGTGATTTCAGATGACTTCCTTCAAGATTGTTCTCAGTGGTCACAATTTACCATTGATGCAGCACTTTACTCGGTAACGGATCTGATTCCTAACCGGATCATTGTGCTACTTGTGGGCCCCGTACAGGTGGAGGACCTGCCTGAGCGTCTGCTGAATGTTGTAGAGGAGAAGTGCATATTGCGTGCAGAGGATTACCAGGACGACGGAGACCGTATTCTGTGGAAGGATCTCAGATAAACCGCTGGAATCTAACGTGTTGAAAGTTATTAATAAGACGTTGATGACAAAAGCCAATCTTGTGATATGATCTCAAACATTCAGAGGAAAGGAGATGAAACCATATTAGGATGATAAAATGCGTCATCCCAGACATATAATATTTCAGCTGTTCAGCAATAATTTAAGATTATTGTCATGCCTTTATGCTTATCTTTATTATGTTTGAATTTGAACCAGCATTTGATAATAGTACGTGAATTAGTGTGTCCAGTGATTTTCTGGGGCATCACTAGACTGGTTAGTTTAATAGCTCTGCTGCATGCGACAGGCTTAATTCAATCAACCTTAGATATTACTGACAGCAATTACTACAGTCATGTTCCACATAGTTATGAACGACTATACATGCGTTTTAAGACAAACATGTAGGGGGGAAAAGTATTGATTGTATTTTATTTCAGTTATTGGATAATATCTCTTAATGAGGTTTTTTTCACAGCCGTTATTTGTTGTCTACCAATAATTGAAAATTGTGAACATATCTGCCATTGTTAGTCTGGAACAATCACTGAGTAACTGAAATCCGTGCCAACAACAGAAGGACTAAACACAGTTCATAATTATAGGAAACATCCATTCCACTTCCACGATTATAGACCGACATCTTATGTAAGTGATTAATGTGATCCGCGTCTTGAGATTAATGTCGATTTATGATGTCAGTTGATAGAAAGTAACCGTTTGTTTCAGCTTTAGATGTATATGTGTATAGCAATGTCCCGGTACATTTACTCTACGAAATATCCTTTGAACATCTGTAACCAACTATGTTGACAGAAAATATGCATATATTTTATCACTTCATTCTAGCGTCGCATGGTCTCCTATGAAACATGTAGTCCTACATACCTTTTCCTATAACATATCGACAGTGGGTTGCTGGAAGACACGTACTGTAAACGTCAAATGTGATGATAGGTATGGATATGCATGATCTGCAAATTTAATAATGATAAGAAATGTTCATTTTCATTTTCATGATTATAGGTCAACGTCACAATTAAATTCTAGAAACTTCCAAAGTCCAGAAACTCTCCACACTGTGGCCAGTTTCTGGCAAAGGAGTTCACAATGGTCATTCCCATTTTCATTTGACCAAGATTGTATTCAAGCGATTATAGTGATGGACCTCTTAAGATTCCTGTCGATTTAGTATATCAGTTGATATAAAGAAACCGCTTGTTTCCCACAACTATTCTTTATCAGTTATAGATGTACATATGTATAACAACATTTTTTGGTTTGGGGTTCTTTGTTTCCATGCACAAAATGCACATGTCAGTTCGTTGAGTATATTTTCCATGTTTATTGTCACCAATCATATCTAATACTTTTCTGTGTGCCTTTAATGTAGAAAAGAATAATCCTTTCCAATATTCTATTCTCATATTTCACTATCGTATAATATTTCTATTTATCACATGTTTAGCTTTTATAACAAACTATAACTACATTCACAATTATAACATTATTTTAGTATAAACAACTACCAGGAATAAAAAAGTCTATTCTGCTAAATAATTCTTGGAACATCTCTCACCAGCCATGTTGACAGATGATAAATATTTTATCGTTTTATTCCAGGGTCCTATTGTCTCTTAAACAATCATCTGGAACATGCAGTCTAACATGCATTTAACAATATAATGTAATATAACATATGAACAGTGTGTCGCTAGAAGGTGAGTGCTAATATGCATCAGTCATGTAAGCATCAAGCATGTATGGAACTCCCTTCTTTGGATTCATTCTAGTGTCACCTTCACCTGCATCAGGTAAATCCATTGACAATTTTACACTAACGACACAACTTTACATCTGAGTTATCTATAACTTAAGGGCTGCAGTTGACAGTGAAGCCGCCAAATCACAAGTTCAAACAGTATCACAATTCGATAAATTAGCTAGAGGAGAAACATGGCGAAAACATCGAGTAGGTACATTTTCAAAATACTAAGAATGTAATCTTAATGGCATGATAAAATTGTCTTTCATACGAGAGCCAAGTGTTTGTATGTCCCTCTGAACATACTCTCTTACACCATAACTCTAGTTATGGGAAGAAATCGTTTGCATATGCTGCAGCCACTGCCTGGAACAATCTTCCCCTTGATGTCCGCCAGTGTCAAACCTGTTCTGCCTTCAAAACAGCTATCAAAACCCATCTTTTCCGCCAAGCTTTCTTCTGATCAAATCTCACTGCGCTTTGAGCATAATATCCAAGTATGGAAAAGCGCAATACAAATCCACTATTATTATTATTATTATTATTATTTCTATTATATAATGAATGAATGAATGAATGAATGAATGAATGAATGCCATCCCATATATTTCCAAATAGTAAGATACTGAAGAGTGTGATGAATCCTCTCTATAGTTACCTGAGATGCAGGATGATATGCACTGGATGGTTCAACGACGATGAGATATGCATAAACTAATACATAGACTGCTGAAAAAACATGAAATGACATGGGATCCCTGATCTGACGGAATAACGACAAACGAAACATAATGGAGAACTTTTCTTTGAAAAATAACCTGAGCCGTAGTTTTTCATGAAGGAATACCCTCTCGAACATTCACCTGACTGGAAGCATGTACGGATTATGTGGGCTAGTTGGACCTTTTTTCAGATACATTTCTGCACGCAAGAAATATATAGTATCATTAAAAACAATTGATTCTATTTCTTCTACTGATGTCAACTAACCGCACATCAACATAAGCGAATGGTCATAAGCAGGCTTCTTTCAAGTGTTTTGATTTTCTTGTTCATAAAGATATTGCTTAGCATCTTCACTGTTAGATTTGTGGAAACATTTGGGAGAATATTCCTGGTGTTGATGAAAATCTAAGAATGCAAATAGATCCATATCATCCGTTTTGACTTTGTTTCCCTTAACTTGTATAAGCAGAAGATTAGCAGAGATAATCTGTTTCGGAAGATTATTCAGGGGATCAGGTTTATTTTACAAGGATGAACTGTGATTAAAGTACTGTCGGAAAAAGACACAAAACACTGTTTTTTCGCATTTATGTCTACGATGTATGTAGTTGATATGTGAAAATATGAAATATCTGTTAAACTAAGTTCGGCCAAACTACAGTCTCAGTGGTAGGGAGATAGGAAACGTAGAAAAAGGACTTTACTGACGAGAGATTTGTGCAGAAATGAGCAAAGCAGGGTTTTTTTCAAAGCGCACTGCGACTTATTTGGAACAGACCATGGCTATATGTAAATTAGTGTGCGGTGATATTGTATCACAAAAGAAACTTTTTTAAATGCTCATTTTGAAATTAGAATTAGCTTCATTATTAACGATAGCTGACGTAAACAATAACTTTAAGACTGAAGCTGTTAAGGATGAAGCTACCATGGAGTTTCACTATCACAACAAAAAGAAACAGGTACGAGGGGTCTTCTCAAAAGCATAGTCAGGACGGGTGTTACGGGTGGTTGGGATCGGGCTGGGAGATAGAGATATCACCTAAGATGAGATTATCCTTTAGGGAATTAAACTGGGGAAGTAAACGGCATGTCAAAACAATTTACAAGTAATATCCAGTCCTGTCGATCTTCGGATGGTCATGTCACCTATATATTTTGAGACAATTAATACGATGGCTAATTTAAGCTTTTCTATGGGTATCATACTCTTTTACATATCTCAACATTAACTTTATGACAGAAAGACACGAAAGATGGTTAATCAATAGATGAGACCTATTCAACGCACATGAAAAAGCACAACAAATATCTTTAAGATGACCCCTTGTGCCCGTAGGCACCACATGCATTTCATGCCAGTGAGTCGACTGTCCGTCGTCATACCTGGCTGAGCGACCTAATTGCCATCTATAGGCTGATGTATTGTTTTCAGCAGCTATTGGTATTTTTCTAAGTTATGCCCGATTTTACGAGTCAACCGTCCTCGATAATCTACAGGGTATACGTTACGATCGCTCTCCACAGTGGAGAGTGATCGTAACGTTTTCCCTGGACATTATCAAGGATGCGAGTAAACATGCTTTTCTGGATATCATATTACGCATAATTTTGAACGCCCAATCAGGCCGATGTGAGGTATTTCGACATATGCTATTTGCAATTGTGTAACTTTTAGGGATACAGTGTAAAAGCCAAAAAACATTTTTTTCCTATTTCCGATAGTACTTTAACTGTGATGACATGTGTGGTGTCTAGCCATATAATATTGCA